TGTGCAGGCCTTTTCCTCAAATCAACTCCTTTGACCATAATGATGATTTCACCTACTCCGTTCCTGATAAATCGGAAAATTTTCAGATTCTTAAGGAAATGAAACTGAATGGTTCACCAGGTCCTGATGGTTTCAATGTGGAGTTTTATCTAGCAACTTGGGAGTGGATTGGTGATGAGGTAATACAGTTGGTGTCTTCTTTCTATGCCACAGGTATTCTACCTCCTCATATTAATGACACTAACATTGCTCTCATTCCTAAGAAGTTAGTCCCTCTTGTTCCTATGGATTATAGACCTATTAGCCTTTGCAATGTCATTTATAAAATTATTGCTAAATCTCTGGCAAACAGACTCAAGCCCCATCTTCCAGGTTATGTTGATCCAGCTCAACAAGCTTTTATTGAGGGTAGACGGATTACTGACAACATTATTGTTGCTCAAGAAATTTCTCACTCTTTTACTCTTAGGTCTTGGAATCACAATGCATTCATGCTAAAAATAGACCTAGCTAAAGCTTTTGACCGTTTAGAATGGAACTTCATTGTCTCGGCTCTTTCTCGTAAAGGGCTGCATGGTCATTTTATCAATCTTGTGCATGCTTGTATTTCTTCGCCTACTTTCTCTGTACTCATTAATGGTCAGCCGTCTCCCAAATTTAAGTCCCATAGAGGTATCAGACAGGGTTGTCCCATGTCTCTCCTTACCTTTTTGTTCTTGCCATCAATGAGCTTTCTATCATGCTTAATGAAGTTGCTCAGGCCAATCATTTGCAAGGAATTTCTCTAGGTCCAAACTACCCTTCTATTCATTCTCTCCTTTTCGCTGATGACCTTTTGGTCTATGGACAGGCTACTACGCAGGAGGCTCAGACTATGTCAGATTTGATTCAGCACTTTTGTTCCCTTTCTGGTCAAACTCCTAATTGGGACAAATCTGCTATTCTGTTTAGCACACATACTCCTCATAATGTTATTACTGATATTAAACATATTTTCCCAGTGCCTAATCTTGATGATAGATTCACACACCTTGGTCATCCATTGATTTTACCTGCAAAAAATAGAGCCTCTGCTTACAACTTTGTAATTGATAAGTTCTCTAACAAGCTGCCTTCTTACAAAGCTAATATGCTCTCTCATGCAGCTCGTCTGGAACTTATTAGGTCTGTTTTTTCTGCTATTCCGGTCTATTACATGGCAAATATTTTATTCTCCAAAAAGCTTATTGCTAAGCTCACAGCTATCATTAGAACTTTTTGGTGGACAGGTATTAAGGAAAATGGCTCAAGGAAAGGACTATGTCTCAGAGCTTGGAAAGATATAGCAAATTCAAAGGAAGAAGGAGGTCTAGGGATTAGAAATCTTAAAGCCGTTAATGAAAGTCTCATCATTGCGGCAGCTTGAAGGTTAGCAAACAACCTCTCTTCTCACTTATATTGTATTCTTCAAGCTAAGTATTTTCCTACTACCACAATCTGGAGGGCAACTTCTTCTCCTCCTAAGTCTGGGTTTTGGGCTTCAATTTTAAAAATGCTCCCCAGGCTTACTCAGCATGCCTTCTATCAACTTACTAAAGGCAACATTTCTTTATGGAGCATGCCTTGGTGTCCTCTTTGGAGGTCTATTCATGATTTCCTTGTTCCCCAAACCACAGGATTTGTTTATCCTTCTTTGGTTAGTGACCTGTGGCTCCCAGGACAAAAAGTTTGGAACCATGAACTTATTTTTAATTTGTTTGATCAAACTTTTGCTTCTCAGGTCATTGCTATAGACATTATTCATGACGATATCGATGATCTTCTTTGTTGGCCTTTGGCCACTAATGGCATTTGTTCTCCTAAATCTGCTTACAAGCTTTGTTTGCAGGAGATTCACAACAATCCTATTACAGCTCCAATGCAGGTGTCTTCAGAAGTCAAGAACTTGCTTACGATTATTTGGCATGATAAAAACCTATTGCCAAAAGTTCAAACCTTTGCTTGGAGACTGTTGAGAAGAGCTTTGCCAACAGGTATGAGAGCAGGTCGTTTTTCTGTTCATATTTCTCAGATTTGCTCCAGATATGGCATGCAAGAGGATGAATTGCATCTTTTTTTCCTTTGCGACTTCGCAAGGGCAGCCTGGTTCTCTAGCCCCTGGTTTCTTAGATCACATGCTATAGTTCAGGGCCTCAATTCTGTGCATTCAGTTATTGCTCGGCTTCTCTCCTTTAATCACCCTCATGCTTCTTTAAAAAATATTCTTAATTTCTTATGGTGCATGTGGAAAACTAGAAATGATTTCCTGTTTGAGCGTAAGAAGCACCAACCTTACCAGGTTCATATTTTAGCTCCTGCCTTGGATCATTACTTGCAGAATGATTCTTTGCTTCATTCGAACAATCCTAAAAACCTGAACAGCCAGCATGTGTTGCATCATTTGCCCCCTCAAGGTAGCACTATTAAGTCTGTTATGCTCCTGAAAGGTCCAAAAATCTACACTAATGCTGCTTTTAAAACTAAGAAAGCTCCAGGCATTTATAACGGACAGCCTCGAACAGGCATTGGGGTGTATTTCTGTCTTCCTTTATCCCAAGGAGAAATAAACATTCAGGTCCAAGCCTCTGCTCTGCCAACAACTACTCCTCTCCAAGCAGAAGTGATTGCAATGGAGTTTGCATCATACTTGACGAACATCCTGCAGATTCAACATCATGTCTTCTTAACAGATTGTCTTACACTTGCTTCGGTGATTGCTGCCAGGAACTTTTTGCACTCTGCTGCGCCCTGGAACATCCGTAAAAATCTAGCTAATATTTTCAACTTAACGTCTCATATGCAGGCTCAGATTTTTCATGTTTCTAGGAATGACAATGGAGTGGCTCATAATCTTGCCAAGCAGGTCTTTCAGAACAGCTACGGAATGCTTATGGAATGTTCCCATAATTCCCATACAAATGCTCCTTGCCCTGTTATTTCTTCCTTGCAGAACATTGCTCTTTCAGGTTTTCATATACATAAGGTATACTGTTTCTAATGTCCTGTACTAATTTTGCAGATTAAAATCTCTATGACTCTTTTTCCAAAAGATATTCTCACGATGCTATCACAGTCAACAGGACGACGATTCACTATTTCTCCGGGAGATCACTTCTCACTCTGCGCTTCATGTGCTTCCTTCTCATTAGATGGTCTCTATATGAAGGACTTTATGTATCTTTAGCTCTCCCTATGTTTCTTCTTTTAATACTTAGCAAGCAGATGTTCATCTGGTTGATCCCCTTTCAACCTATCTTTGCTTCTTTCTCCAGCTACTCTGTTTTGGCTGTTCTCCTCTTCTGATATTTAGGCCAATGTAATATCTCCTGTACTATGATCAATGCTGGAAATGGAATTGGGCACCCTCTGGGTGCCTTGCTTTGTTCAAAAAAAAAAAGCAGACTTGGACTAATTTAATTCTCCTGCTTTCTTCTGATGATTAAGGTACGTCTGAAAAAGGATCCCTCTCGCGCCATTTTGCCCTGCTTTTTCGCTGAGACACGCGTGTTTTGTTGGGTTGGAGGCTTGGAGCAGCAGAGACGAGGACTGTTTAACCTCACCAAAATCCTATTATGAATTGCTGGTGTAGATTTCATTCGGATCAGATCATCATCGAGGTTGCCCTTTTCATTTTGCACAAACAAAAATAAGGTCAAAAGGGGGACCCTCAAGAATCTCAAAAGCAGGCAGGCTTGTTTCCCTTTTTCCATTCCTTGAATTTTCTGAATTATTCAACCTGCACGCGGCTAATGGTTGTACGTACGCGTCACGTTGGACCTGCCGCACAAACATTTTACTCGCGCGTCATGAGCCCATGACACGTCCAGAGCATGCCCTGTTAATCTGCAAAATCCAGCCTATTTGGTTATCGGGAATTTTGAAGGATAAAAAATTTGTAGGAAAAAATCTTTTAGAACATTTGGTTTGTAGAAATGAATTTCGTATGATAGGAACCAGTCCTTCACATTCTCAAAAAAGAAAAACATTAGCCTAGACTCAATGAAAAAGTTTCTATCCTATGAATGAAATGACATCCCTTTCTCTATGGAACTAAGACACCTATTCCCATGATATTTCTATCTTATGAACCAAAGAAGCCTTCATATGAAACATATCTGTTTCAGTTTTCTTAATGAATACTCTTTGCAATAACTTTTTTTCGCTATGTGCATCCTCGGGTGCTGGCGACCGGGAGAGTTCAACCATAATCTCAAGTCGCACTTTTACATTTTTCTTTTGCGATGACACTTTTACATTCTTTTCTACAAAAGCATAACTTTTTTTGGACGGGACCTCGTCAAGTGAGTAGGGTGCTCCTGCGATTTCGTAATGAAAAATAAATTTGGTCTAGTTTATATGAGAAACTAGGTCGAAAACCACACTTCCACACCCCGCAAAAAAAAAAAACCACACTTCCACAACGAATTGGCACACCTCCTAATTGTGTAATTCACATCACCGCACCCGCCCAAAAGGATTGACACAAAAAAGAGGCCGGAGGAGAGACATCTCTTTGTGTGCGTGCTGCATCCACTAGCGAAGTGATGGCGCCAAATCAAGCTCAATCAGCAGCACCCTTTTGAAAGGAATTTTAACGCAATTGATTGATGTGCACGTCGCAGCCCCAGCACCAGCAACAACACAAAAGGAAACCAAACAATTAGTCCACGAAGATCGTTCCTGATTGATCTGCATGATACCATACTACCAAAATTAACGTATGATGATGCTCGCTCTCTCTCTCTCTCACTCTCTCTCTCTCTCTCTCTCTCTCTCTCTCTCTCTCTGCTTTCTGTCTTTCTCTCTCACCAAACCTTGCCTTGCCTTGCTTTCCTTTGCTCCCTTTCCCTTGTTCCCCGTGGCTATAAGACACGCCGAGCCAAGAACAGAACACCATTCTGCATCTTTCTTCCTCCACGTCTCATCCTCTGTACCCTCCGTCAGAACCTCCGTTCTCTTAGTATCAATCGTCTCCGGCTCCGATGAAGGACCGCCGCGGCGGCGCCGGCTTCCCCTTCTCCATCGGCTGCATGTCGCAGTCCGCCGTAGCTGTTGCCGACCCGCTCGACAAGAAGCCGCAGGCGCCAGCGCCACAGCAGGCTGACACCCCCTCCTCCTCATCCACCAACACCACGGCGGCCACCGTACAGGGTATGTACTTCCTCATCACAATTCATATGAAGGTCCATGCCACAGGTACTGCACATACTAACAGCAAGCAGAACACCTACCGGGGTCTATTTCAGAGAGAGGCGCCGGAGAAGAAAGCAGCGAGGACAAGGCGAGAACCACGGCGGCGGCGTCAGGGGTCGTCACGGCGGGGGTGCAGCGGCTGCTCAGAGGGATCAAGACCTTCTTCGCGACGTACGACGGCGAGGAGGAGGACGAGGAGGAGGATAGGGAGATCGTGATCGGGTACCCCACCGACGTGCAGCACGTCGGGCACATCGGCTGGGACGGGATCAACAAGGTGGGCGGCATGGTCGGCGCCTTCTCGCTGCCCTCCTCCCTCTCCCTCCGCCAGCTCGAGATCGCCATGGACCCCGGCGCCGCCACCACCACCTGCATCAACTGACCAAACTCTCCTGCCATTGCCATGCCCCTTGAGCTCGAGAAACCACCATCACTAGTGCTAGTAAAAAAAAAGTTTGAGATGACTGGTCTCATCTTTTAGTTCTTCCACGTGCTTGCTGATGATTGATAATTACCTTGTCATTTGGTAAAATCTTTTCTTTTTTAACTTTGGACGAGATAAGAAGCATATGCATAGGTTTGTGTATACTATGTGGAGTGGAGTTGTGTACATACTTTAGTAGATTGTGGGAGCTTCAGCTTGTTTCAACATCTCTACGGGCCATGGGGCCCCTGCTCTTCATCTTTTCCATTGAAGTTGCTCTTAAACCAGATGGTAAAATCTTGTCAGGAGTGATGGTGATTAATTGCTGCTGCTGCTGCTGGTACTACAATAATAGTGGTGCAAATCATTCAAGTCTTCATGTTTGTTGGACTATAACATGCATGCCGCCATGCGTGCACGCATCTCGTACTACTGCTAGTACTGCATAATGGTTAAGGCCAATTAACTCGTGTGTTCGTCATAGACATGGCCAGATGCCCAGATGGTACATGCAGTACTGCCAATGGGACACTTGTCTCAAGCAAATGAAAAATAATCTTTTGCAGTCCATGAGTGCAGAATCATGGTAAAATCTGCTTTAAGCTTAGACAAGGAACACAAATTCAGACAAAGTCAAACGTCGACCCGATCAAAATCCAGATAATTCAACAGTAAGCAGTATAAAACTAAAGTGTTCACATGGAAGGTAGCCTTAGAAAAATACAAATTAAAACTACTTTTGATAGTGTAATTCACACACTAAACACTATATGTGAATCCGTGGCCACTGAGCCGAGCTGACGCGCTGCTTAACCAGTCAATATCACCAACCACTGATTAACAACGTTGACACTGTATCTTTGTAATAAGATAAGAAACAGTGATGTGCCACTAATGCTACTGTTGGAACGTGACTCGCCACTTAGCTTCTTTATTATCATGGGCACTTAATCCAACTTCACGTTCCAGACAGATTAGCAGCATGCAGGCCTCAGTCTGAATCAGAGCACACGCAACGGGGAACAGATTTTTGATGTGATGCTTCATCGCTAACAGTTTTATAAATTGCGATTAGCACGTACTACTAGTTGTCGAGCGACAGCTTGGTTCATCAGCTAGCCAGTGTGACTCCTTCAGAATATGAACAGTGAAAACACGGTTTTTTTTTTGCATAAAAATATATACTCCCATTTGTAGGAGGTGTTCACATGATCTGTGGCTTATTCATGGCCTAGAATAGATAAACATGACCCAACCCCACCTGTCATGATGGTGGATATCATAACAGGGTTTGATTAGTGGGAAGGATCAGCCCAGATTTTGTTTTATTTATGTGCTTAATTAACTGGGAAGGGAACAAGCAGCACTGTGGGGGCAGAGTGTTAGCTACCAGGTCCTTATTGTTTATGGTGAGCTTTGTTTCTGGCAGAAAGGCAACCCGTGATAAAACCTAACTGCATCATCATTATCATCATCATCATCATCATCAACATCACATTACTTTCCTGGTTGGTGATTGCAAGGTATGAGTTGATTAGTTCCTTAATCTAATTCTTTCAACCGAAATCTACTGCTTTAGTCACTGTTTCGAGCCCCATGTTTTGGTGGAGGCCTTAGTTTGGAAGTATTGTCAGTATAGCCTCTTCTTCTTTTGCACAAATAAAGAAATGGTGGTTACATTTGCAATGATGCATCAGATGATACAATCTTTCGGTACACGTTCAGTGGAATATTTAATGAATTCTTGAGTTGATGTGGGACTTACAGAAGCAGCTAGAGTACCTGCTTGGGCAACCTTGCAACATACTTCTGGAAAACCTTGAAAAGGTGTACAAACTGCAGCGGATAGTCGAGCTCGGAGTCACAGCCGATGCAGATTGGGCGCGCCGTTCTGCAGAGAACCAAAGGGGGTTAAGCTGGAAAAGAAAGGAAAACACAGGAACTGTTACTTGGTGGCTAATTTGCCTCTTTTCTTGAAGAGAGCTATGGACAAAAGCAGCATATCATTACATTCCAAGGCACTTCACAGGAAAAGGTTGCCACTTCAGTGGTTTATGCTTCATACTCACAGGAGGCCACATGCCATAGACCCTACTTATATTTTGGCATCCTCTTGTAGCTTGACAGCTAGCTCTTTCTTCACGAGATGTATTCTCAATGTCTGGCCAAGCAGGCAGTCAGTTGTTCCGTTAGACGCGTTTTGTCCATATCTGTCAGAAAAGAAGCCTCTGCTTGGGCTGATGCGCGCTTATCGTCCCTCATACTATACAGAAGCATCATGATTCATGAGCCCGTGAACCATCGAAATATCTCTGCCACATAGTTATCTTGAAATGGCAGAATAATCATCACAAGTTGCATACCATGATTGAGTTGAGTTCACCATCAGCTGCTCCACTGATTGTCATGCCCTGGTCTCTGACGTTTACTAAGTAAGACAGCGAATCCTGAGTTACGACCTCACCGGGTATCAGCACAGGGATACCTGGTGGATACGGGCAGATAAGCTCACCACAAATCTCCCCAAGGCTGTCCTCCATGCACACTCTTCTTTTCTTTGTAAAGAAGGCCTCTCTTGGAGGCAGCTTGACAAAGAACTTATCCAATGGGCTACAAACATAGTTATGCTTACTAAATCTCGATTCGTTTGCAGATATGTATTTATCTGAGAGATGCTTTGCACACTGTACAAGTTTTTGAACATCTTGCCTTCTGGTCCCTAAGTTGACTGCAAACGTCACCGCCTGTGTTCCGACAAGCTCACATACAATTTGATGCTCTTCCAAAATGTCATCTGCCTCGTATCCAGATAAATGTAGATCTGAAGCACTTAGTGTGACACGCAAAGGATCAATGGCAGGGAAGTCAGAAGCAAAGCATGACAAGTCCAGGACAGATAACCCCGGGATTACCATCAGCTGATCTCTTGTTTCTAAAGCCATAGCCACCGGTTCATCAAAAGATTTAGCGTTCTCGCTCAACTGAGCTCTTGCAGCATCTAATGATGACAGTAGGAGGTAACTTGGGCTTGAGCTCTGGAGCAACTGGAGGCATTGGCTCACTTTATCTGCATCAACCAGACCTCCAGCCATGTGAAGCATCGAGGACTGTGTAAGAGAGTTCAGAACCTTGTGCGTGGATTGCACAGCTAAGTCAGCACCTTGCTCTATCGCCGTGCTTGGAAAACTGTGATGGAACCTGAAGTGCGCACCATGAGCCTCATCAACTATAACCGGAATGTGTAAAGGATGGCAAACATCGACGATACATTGCACATCGCTGCATATGCCATGGTAGGTCGGCGAAGTAACAAGAACAGCACCTACTTTCTTGTCATCCTTCTCAAGCTCCTTCAGTGCTTTATCCACCTGTGACGGCGTAATACCACCAGCAATGTCCCATGCAGAATTGTACTCTGGTACTATATACTTAGGCACAGCACCGGACAGAACCAGGGCAGAGATCACTGAGATGTGACAGTTTCGAGGCACAACAATGTAGTCACCAGGGCAGCAGGTGGCCATCACCGCGGCCTGGATTCCGCAGGTACTCCCATTGACCAGGAACCATGTTTTAGATGACCCAAAGAGTTGAGCTGCCTGGTTCTGAGCATCCAAAATCACACCATTAGGGTAGAAGAGGTCGTCGAGTTCGGGTAGCTCGGGCAAGTCATGTGAAAACGCGCCCGCGCCAATAAGGTCCAACATCGAAGAAGGAGCAGCTTTCCCTTGGTTGTGTCCAGGGAAGTGAAAACAGGACACGTCTTGGGCTGCAGTTGATTTCAGTGCCTGAACCAGAGGGGCGGTAGCACCTTGGACAGGTGCTGAAGGTTGAGCAAGCGTAGGTTCAGTTTCAGATATTCTTGGCGTGGTCCGTGAAGTGTCACACCGTGCTATGGCATGTCGTCTGGGTGATTCCTGCAAGACCAAAGAAACTTTGGATTGGCACATGGGATAGAAGAAGGTGGAGATGAACATAGTAGGCTGAATCCATTAGCATGGTCGATCAAAGATTGCAAAGTAGATACTGTATGCATGCTGTAATCATGACCAATGCCGGACAACGCAAATTCGACAGCATCTTCCGTTAAGCTGTGTTCAGAAGTAAGTACTGACGCATTAATTCATCAGTTGGAACACTCTAGCTAGAACAGAGCTCACCGTCTCCCACGCGGTCATGCGCCTGCCCGGTTCAGCTCATGGCGGCACTCAGAAGCGCCGGCGGCCACCTTCTGTATCCCATCATTGCCTGCCGGCGCCGCGCCTCCACGCTCCACCCACCCCCTAGCCACGTGAGCACATCGCGCCCCCTTGTGCACTTACAGTAGCAGCATATCGCCGTCGACTGTGCCGGTGGAGCGTCGTGCCGGAGCAGCCGTCCGACCCGGCCGGCGTTTGCGGCTGCACTGCTTCCTTTCTTTGTTTTTTGGGGGGAAGGCTGCTCTGTTTTCTGGTATGTGTAGCTGAGAGGCGGAGGCCGGCGTGGGGGTGCGCGGATGCGGCAAACGCCACAAGGGAAGGAGACGAGCAATTCGACGAACAGGTTGCGGGCACTAGAGTAGAAGGCACTGAGACAATAACCAGAACCATAGTGGAGCGAAGAAGGCGGGAGGGAGGTGTAGGTGAGGAGTTTACCGTCCGTGGAGAGATAGGCGCGCGCGGGGAGCGGAGGGCCGGAGGAGGCGCCATGCTTCTGCTGCTGCTGGGAGGAAGAAGAAGCATGGACATGGTCGTCTGCGCGTGGTCGAAGCACAGTGACGTGCGGGAAGGAGGAGTGTAATCTGATCTGGTGTGTATATGGGCCTCCATGGACAAGCCAGCCTTTGGGCCGTCACACCGCTGGGCCAGACTACAAGGTAACTCACTCAAAAAGAAAAGAAAGAAGTATACTTTTCACCCTCAAATCCCCTCCAATGTTTCTCAAAAAAAAAAATCCCCTCCAATGGAGCCATTACACCCTCAACTCGAATTTGGTATGATTTCAACCCTAAACATGTCAAAACCGGGTTAATCTAGCCCTGAGTGGTTTCATGCCACATCAAAAGTGGTTTTGCATGTGGTTTCAGCTATTTTGACAATAACTAAGCAATGGCGTGGCCAATCATCAATGCTCAGTGTCCACGGGCGATACCGTCCTACACGGCTTCTACCTGCAGCTCAATGAGCAAGAGGCCAACGACATAGTGGGCATGAATGGCGTCTTGGCCGTGAACCCCGACATAAGTGGTTTATGGACGCCGCTGCGGCTCCGACGTGAGCTCACCCTCGCTTGGCGATGGCTCCGTCGACCACACGCGGAACAACGTCGCCATCAACACATTCTCTGCGGTGGAGCATAACGTCCTGGTGTCATGCTATGTCGGGAACGTCGAGCCTGGGAGCTCGATACTCTCCTACGTGACGGCCTGGATCACCACCGTGGGCACGGACACCCTTGATCATAACTTTCCGGCGTGACCGGAACCACACCGGCATGTCTGAGAAGCAGTGCCATCCGCGAGCTACAGCCACATGCCGTATAGGCTGTGCAGACTGTACATGGCGCTGGACACAATCCAGGGCATCTACTTGCATGTAGTTCACGACGGCGCTAGTGCCATGCGCGCGACATGGAGGTGGACAGCAGCAGCGACTTACTGAACATGCCGTGCGAGAGGAACGATGTACAGCGTTAGTGCGCTAGAGCACTGGTCTAGCTCGCCTTTATCACGATCTATGGTGGCAATCGGGCCAGCGGAGGAGGCAGTGATGGCAATGTACGCTAGAGGAAGCAATACAAGCAGGAGGATGAAGGTGAGGATGTCGTTGTGGAAGAGGTACGGAGTTAATTTCCCGAGCAACTGCCACCTCAACGCCATGTCACCAAAACATCAGTGCCTAATCACCACCATGCGCTGCAAAACCACTTTCGTTGTGGTATGAGACCACTCAGGGCTTGATTAATCCGGTTTTGACATGTTTAGGGTTGAAATCATGCCAAATTCGAGTTGAGGGGGTTATGGCTCCATTGGATGGGATTTGGGGGTGAAAAGTATACTTCTTTCAAAAGAAAAACAAGAGAAAATACTCACTGGTGAAATTTTCAAAAAAGAATTCCAAGTTTATTCATGGATATACCATGTGACACATGTGCTAAGCAATCCAAACTACTAAAAAAATTTATATCTAGTTTGCCCTTGTCATCTAGTAGCGTTTCGCTAACGGCCTCCACCTCTAGAGTCCACGTATCAATCTGCCCGGCCTTTTGAGAATTCTCACCGACAGCGATGTAGCCAACGGCAGGGTGATCCAAGGGCACCAACGTGTTCAGGAAGACGTCGCGGACCCAGGAGAGGTGGATGTAGTCGTCTGCGTTGGTGGAATCGACAAAGGCGTTGGAACCGTACGACGACGCTACGGGAATTGGCACAGACAAAAGTGGAATTAATGGCAAAGTTAGCTTTAGGGAATCTTGGAGGGGCCAGGAATATAAGAAATCAAGAGGCAAGATGACAGCTATGGGGAGTTACGATGATGGCCGAGGAAGAGTTCTATGGCCCAAGACAAGCTCGGAGATGAGGATTTGGTGGCACAAGCACACGATTGAGGGAGATAAGCGAGTGGGGCGAGGTCGAACGGGCTCAGGGATCACAATGAACTGAGCGCACGACGGACTCAAGCTGCACTGGCGAAGCTACATGGCAATCTTTGGGGGAGTTGTCACTTTTGCAAGCTAAGCCCCACGTAAAATTTTTTA